TCAAATGTTTTATAATATAGTATAGATATGCTTTCAATTATTATTCGATAAACTTGAACAATTTAAATTAGTATAATATATATTGATGTTTATGAAAATTGTTATTTCATGAGTTTATCTTCAACCTAACATTTAAAACACTAGAAATATGGAGGTAAAAAAATGTTAGGCCTCTATTTTGAAGGTTCAATAAAGTAATCTCTATAATTAAATATTAATATTTTATTCAACTTTTATATACATATATATATATATGTATTAATAGTTTAAATATTATAATATTAAATACATATATTATTTTATAATTATTATAATATCGAATATGTTTTTGGTGTTTTTTTAATGTGTGGTTGGAATTGGATTTTTTAAAATTCAAGTGATTCATCATTTTTAGTGTATTTTAATGGTAAAGTTGGAGATGTTCCAAGTAAATAAAGCAAATCGTGAAAGGAAGTCACCTCAAAAAACCCCTCACCATGACGCACCTAAAGACATCATAGCATGCTTTTTAGAACTATGTTTTAAATACATAATCAGTATTTAACAATTCTATTTAAAAAATTAACAATKATCCTCTTTTTATGTGTCAAATGACCATTTGATTTCTTATAACAATTATATAATGATTGTTCTTATTTTTGGTTTAAAAGTCAAAAGACGTGCTTTTTTTTTAAAGTTTACAATAAACAATATGAGTATGGTTAATGTTACAAAACGCTTAAGTTATTCTCAATTATGGACATAAAGTTTCGGTWTGAACAAATTTGGATTTTGTTGGGATTGATGGGGGAAAATGGTTCATGATGCAAAATGTGCAAATGACAATACTATGAAAAAAAAAATCATGATGTAAAATGTTATATTTCAATCAAATAATAAAATTACACATAGGTTAAAATGATAATTTTATGTCATTCATTCGAATACTTATCACCAATCAATTTTCATTATGCACTAAATCATAGTCATTTAATCATTCCGACCATTAACCCTTTTGTATCTTATCACTCAGCTTCTATCAAACAGAACCTTAGTTCTATTTGTTCCACACAAATTCATACCAAATATGGACAGTATCTTATGTTCTGTCATGTCCCATCCGTTGTACCAAACGCACAATGTTTAAATTGCCTGTCATGGAAACATAGTTATAATATGAAACGTGTCACACCCCRTTAAAGCGGAAACAYGAKATGTAACAGGTAAGCGAGTCACAGYAGCAGAAAATAAATAAACACCATTCAAGTTTTACAAAAGATTCAAATTAAACAYCCATAACCAAGTTGGGATTGAAAACTTCTTTAYAAAARTTTGCAAACTGAACTCAATCGGTGTCGCCACAAATATGCTCCCATAAACTTCTTTTCTTACTTAAATCCTGAAAAACATGAAACATAAAACAAGTCAACTACAAAGAGTTGGTGAGTTCACGGGTTTTTATATGCACAAAACATTACAATGCATAAATCATTTCTTGCAAACYTATACATAACTTTTGCACTTAATAAATGTAAATCTACCATGATGTTTAAAACTTGAGACGCTACTGAGCCTTTCCTGACCAATGTGCCCCATTATTTTACGAACGACCATAAGTAGCCCGTACACTCACTTAGGTCCCACAGTTCATAATAGTACTAATTCAGCGGTGGTCCAAATTCCACATGATTAGACTAATAAAAACATAGGTAATGTGCACCCCTTTCTGGGTGGGACTGTCAACACAATAGCGGCTATCCACAATTACTACGCCCAGGGACATGCCCGAGTTAACAAGTAGCATTTACGGACGGGGACTTTATTTGAAAACATACTCCCAAGTACATCAATTTAGCATTTATATCATAGTGCAAAACAGTTAATATATCATGACATAAACAAATCTGGACTAAACAGTTCTTCAGTCCAACAGTTTTAAACAAACCTTGACTAAACAGTTCTTTAGTCCAACAGTTTGATAAATAACAGTATAGTTTGCATAACTTCATGCTTTTCCCCCAGTTTAAATAAACAAAAAACATTAAAAGTGGGGCCRTGAATACTCACWGGTTTGACGATGAATATCCAAGGAGATGAAGTTTGAAGCACTCAACGTCCGCCCTAACCTTCCTAAACARTCCGAAATCCAATAATTAGATCACCTAACGAGTCTCGATAAGGATAAAGTCAAATTGTATTTTATGTAATGCCAACGGGTTTTTAAGARTTAAAGTTGATACTCTTATGATTTGTTCTAAAAATAGCCCAAAAATTATATCTTTTAAAATCAAAGTCCTTGCACAAAAGCTGATATTTGGGACAGAATATAAATTATGTTTCTGATAATTTTTGGTCCCACAAATCACTATAAAAAAAAACCTTCCAAAAGTCATTTTATGTCCAACATTTATATCAACCAAAATAATGAGTTAGGCAGACTTTTCCCAAATATCAAAAATTTTGGATGGGTTTAAGGCAGTCATTAATACCCTACAACCTTGAGTGACACAACCCCCAAAACAGATTGCACACTCTTCGAGTGACGGCCATTTGGGGGTCTAAACTCATCATTTTTCAGAGATTTTAATTGCATTTTAAAGCTAACAAATAAGGCTAACCTCCAGAAAAAGAATTACCCAATTCCATTGAGTTTTGAGGAAGATAAAACCGATTTGAGATGCATGCAAGATTCTGTCAGATTTCAAAATATATCTTTTCATGATTAAATTCCACATGCAATGGGTTTTCTCCTACTTTCTTAGAGTTCAAAGTTCGTGGTTCATAGATTACCATCATTTGAAGACATTTTCATGTCTTGGATGTACAATCTCCCCTGTTGAGATCTCCAGAAACTTTATTTTCGAGAACAAGCAGTAGGAGTAGAATAAATAGGAATTTTTGATATTTAATATAGGTAAGATAGCTAATATAATACATTTTTCTTGAAATCTTAAAAWTTTCTTCAAGATTGACAAATTTCCTAAAGGTACTTGATGATGRAATCGGCTGGARGGGGTTTGATTTAGAGAGAGAGAGATTAGGGAGAGAAATGGTTTAAGCAAATATGATAATTGGAAATGAGAATTTCAAAGGATRTGGAGGTATTTATATGAGGATTTTAAARAAGAAAATGGGCTGGCCTCTAAAGGCCCAAACTCAATAAAACTTTTTATTTTTCTTTTTAAACAAGAATAATCYCATAATAACCCAAAAATATTATTTGCCAAATAYTAT